ATAAATTTATTTATTATTATTTTTTAAGATTTTATTTTTAAGTAATCTCTACACCCAATGTGGGGCTCGAACTCACAACGTAGAGATCAGAGGTCACATGCTCTACTGACTGACAACCAGGTGCCCCTTTAAGAGCCTTTTAAAATATATAACTCTCAGTTCACTTAATCTTATTCTCCCTATGTTAGAATTTGGGTTTTTATTGTTAGTGTTTCTATGAATAGAAGTTTTCCTACAAAGTTTTCACTGGTGCGATAAAACATTGGGGGTAGTTCAAATGTAGGCGACTAACCCTGATTATACATATGTAGTTTTTCTTTTAATATACATTATTACTATTTGTTTTTCCTAAGGTGTTTTTCTAAGGCATCTTTTGTGCTCACAATGAATATTTTAAGATTCATATAGAGCTAATAATGTGGCCTTGCTGTATTATTACTCATTGTTGGTATTATTTATATATTTTTAATTGTTTTCTGTTTGTTATTAGAAAGTTATATCTTTAATCACTAAGGTATATTGCTTGTTTTCAGGAGATTAAGCGATGAAAAAAACCTTCCTCTTGACGGTAAACGGCAACGTTTCCATTCACCCCACCAAGAGCCAACTATAGTTAACCACATAGTGCCTTTATCAGGTGAAAGAAGATACTCAATGCCGCCATTGTTTCATACACACTATGTACCAGATATAGTCAGATGTGTTCCACCTTTTCGAGAAATACCATTTTTAGAACCTAGAGAAATCACACTGCCTGAGGCCAAAGATAAGGTAATAATAATGTAGATTTTAGTTTTACCTTTTGGGAAGTTAATATAATGTATTAAAAACATCAGAAATACCTAATGTTTTGGATTAAGTAGAATATGCCTTTTTTGCTCTGTTTAAACTACTTAACAGTTTTCTGTCTAAATTTGACTTTTTAAATTTTTTGTTAGCTGTTCTTTTAAGTGCAGCTTTCATATCAGGAAATCAGATTTTCTCTGATTCATAAAAATCTGGATTAGGGCTCAGAACATTTGATTTCTTAGTTTAGAGAACTCTGTTGTTACTTATTTTTATTACAGAGAAACACATTTTCATGTGGTTATTGTAATAAAGTGTCAAAAAGCATTTTCTCTTGGGATATTTGTGTTTGTCATGAAGTTTTTGAATGTCAAAAATAGAGAATCCAGGAGGCACTGAGAAACTAATACATTCAGAGTGATAACGATGAAGATAAAGATTTATCTAGCAATATTATTTGTGAAAAGCATTTCAAATAAATGAAATGAAGCTGTTAAATAATTTTTGAAAAATGACATTGTCATCATTGGGGACCAATGAGTTATTTAACCACTAACATTAGAAGCATATCCATACCCCCCCCCACCAAAAAAATTCTAGGTAATTTAGAAGAGTTGATAACGTAAATATCTGCATTCTCTTGGCTTGTCTATGGCTTATATTTGCTGTTTTTGCATTTTCAAAGCTGCTCCATTTTTAAGAAATATGACATTTGTAGGCTGAGGGGAATGATCCTGAAGAGTGTAGTGACTTTGTTTTACTCATCTTTGGGTTCCTGGCAACCAGCATAGGTCTGGAATATAGTGAGTGTGCAGAAAATGTTGGGTCAAAAAAAGAATGCTTGCTTCATTCTTTAGTTGTGCTGCTTTTTATTCCTTTATCATTCTTTCTTTTCTTTGAGATAGAACTATCATAAAGTTCATTCTTTTTAAGTGTATGATTCAGTGGTTTTTAGTATATTTGCAAAGTTCTGCAGCCATCACCATTATCTAATTCTAGTATGTTTTCATCATCCCCAGGAGAAATCTTGGTACCCAGTAGCAGTCCCTTCCCCATCCCTAACCTTCCCACGCTGCCCCCCTGCCCTTGGCAACCACCAGTTGATTTTTTATCTTTATGGATTTGCTTATTTTGGACATTTCATATAAATGGAATCATACATTGTGTTGTCTTGCTTTTTTCACTTAGCATATTTTCAAGGTTCATCCATGCATGTGGCATGTGTCAGTTCTTTGTCTCCTTTTACAGTTAAATAATATTCCATTGTATTGATATATCCTATTTTGTTAATGTATTCATCAGTTGATCAACTTTGGGGCTGTTTCTGCTCTTTGACTATACTGAATAATGCTACTCTGAAAATCTGTGTACAAGTTTTTGTGTGGACATATTTTCATTTCTCTTGGGTATATATCTAGAAGTGAAATTGCTGGGTTATGTGTAACTCTGTAACTTTTTGAGGAACTGCCAAAGTGTTTTCTAAAGTTGCTACACCATTTTACATTCTCACCAACAGTGTATGAGTGTTCCAATTTCTCTCCATCCTTGCCAGCACTCATTATTGTCTGTTTTTTTGATTATAGCCATCCTGGTGGGTATGAAATGGTATCTCATTCTGATTTTGATTTCCATTTCGCTAATGATTAATGATGTTGGTCATCTTTTCATTTGCATGTTGGCCATTTGTGTATCTTCTTTGGATAACTGTCTATTCAGATCTTTTGCCCATTTTTAATTGGTTTATTTTTTATTGTTGAGTTGTAAGAGTTCTTTACAATTCTCAATATTAGACCTTTATCAGATTTATGATTTGCAAATATATTCTTCCATTCTGTGGTTTGTCTTTTTCCTTTCTTGATGGTGTGTTTCTTTGAAACACAAAAGCTTTTCATTTTAATGAAGTCCAATTTATCTGTTTTTCTTTGGTTGCTGGAGCTTTTGGTGTCATATATGAGAAACCATTGCCTGATCCAGTGTCACAAAGATTAATGTCTGTGTGTTACTCTGAGAATTTTATAGTTTTAGCTCTTAGATGTAGGTCTTTGGTCCATTTTGAGTTGATTTTTATATGATATGAAGTAGAGGTCCAACTTCATTCTTTTGCTGTTAGTCCGGTTGTCCCAGCGCTATTTATTAAAAAGATTCTGTCATTTTTTTGTTATTATGAAGTAGGAAAGCAGTTAGGTGAAAACGGCAGGAGGGAGGAAGAGGCAAAGTAAAATGGAAAAAGACTAACTTGAGAAGTTTTGGTCCTGTTCCCCCTCCTCCCCCCCAGCCCCCCATTCTTTCTCCTTTCTTTGCTTTCTCATTTTAAAGAAACTCTTGTAATACTATAATGTGAAAGCCTGTGGTGTAAATCAAATCCGACCAATTCTTTGAGTGAACATTAAGAATCTTTTACTATATGTGGGTTTTTAATGTATGTATGCAGGCTCATTTTTTATGGAATTTATAAGTATTGAAGCTTTCTATATTTTTGCATGTATTTATATGTTTAATAGTTAACTATTAGAACTAACTAAATAACTGCTAGTTCTGCATGTAGACTAAGTATATGTTGAGTCTCAGTAAATTTAATAACATAATTTATATCAGTATGTATCATCTAGTAAAGTATGGTTCCATATCAATAACTTTGCTTAATAACATAGGAAAAGATTCTCTTAAATCTTAGGTTTTTGGAGTAAGCATTTATTTCAGAAAGATAAAGATATATTTTGTTGTTAAGCCAATTTCTTTGAGTGCTACTCTCTACTTGCCTAGTTGTAGGGGAAAGAAGGCAAGCGATTAGTTCTGTGTTCATTCTTTAAGCGAACACTTTTAAAGAAAACTAACATTTATTGATGTCTTTTCTCTTCTAGGCATTCTACATATGTTATGTCATTTAGTCTTTTCAACAACCCCATGACATGGATATTACCCTAATTTTACTGAGGCTCAGAAAGCTAAATAACTTGCTCAAGGTCACAGCTAGTAAGTGACACAACTGAGATTTGACCCTTGTCTCTGATAATACAAAGAGGAGGAACTTAAGATGCTTAAATTCAAGGGTAGGGAGATGACATTTTTAGAACTGACTATAACACCAGGTAATCTGTGACAGTAGTAGCTAATACTAATAAGTATCTTTCTTTGCCAGGAGTGTGTTCAATGATTTGTATTGTTTACCTCTGTTTACCTCTGCTACAGTGTGAAGTGAATGGGAGCTTCAGTGTGAAATAAAAATGGGGTAGTGGTTTCAGGCCTTGAATGCACAGTAGAATGCCACTGAAGGTTTTTGAGTAGAGGAATAGCACGATCAGATTGGCATTTTGGAGAAGATGGTTCTTGTGATATAGTGGAGTTGAGCTTGGAATAAGGAGGGCCTGGAAGATGGATTATTATTATCTCAAAGGCTGTTAAATTCACTCAGATGAGACGTGCTGAAGCTTTCAGTTATGGCATATGGTAGTGAGAAAGATGTGAGAGACCATGAATAAGGAAAATTGGTAGAATGTGTGGAATCATTGAATATAGGGAAGAGAGAGAGAGAGAGAGAGAGGCATTTGTGGCTCCAATGATTTGATTTTGGACTACTAACAGAGATAAGGAATATAGATTTGGGGTATATAAATTAATTGAGGAACTAGTCAAGAACTATTTGGAACCATGGTAAGATCTGTAATTTTTGTGCACTTGAGAAAGCTTGTATTCTGAATATTGCTCACTAAGAATATAGGGCTATGGGAAAATAGAGCTGGAGTAGGCTACTCAATTTAAACAATTTTGTAACCAGAACACTATCAAGAGTAGTAACTGATGCCTTGGGAAATAACTTGGTCAGACCAGGTAGGCGGCTTCGTATGGCTGGATGCTGCTGCAGGGGATATTAAAAAATATACAAAATAGAGTTGGGATACTGCCTTGTGGTGGACATTGAGACAAGGCAGTTAAAAGTGGAGCTCTGAGTCAGTGAGGCTGCTGTTATAAGACACAGAAGGAAATACATCAGCAGAGAGCTGTCTGAGGCTGACGGGATGCTTTATTGAGTGGGAACCGTCAATATAGTGGGAACCCAAATAGGTGGGAACTTATTTTTAGTTGTGTTAGATCTATAAGGACTCCTACTGTGCAGCAGCCAAACTGAGGAATTCTTTTTCTTTCTCATGAAGGTTATGATGTAGAATTTCAGCTCCGTGTTCAAATTAACTAACATGTTGAATTGATACCATTCACCTACTTATCAATTGTCTATAAGCTAATTGGTATTGTAGAAAAATATGTTGTAGTTGAATTGGCAGTATATATTTCAGAAGCAAAGCAGGGCCAGAGATACAAATTCTGAAGTCTCCTGTAATGAAACTCTTGGGAGTAGATTAGATTCTGTTTTTATTTATTATTCAACAAATACTTGTGAGTGCTGTTATCTATGTGCTACAATGTTGTACCACAGTGTTGTGCTAAATATACATGGTCACAGTCTCTTTACCATATACATACAGTATAGTGAGAGGGAGAACCATTAAAGAATGGCCATTCAAATCACAGTTTTATTTATATATTTGTAAGTTCAGTGAAGGAAAATTGCAGTTCTGAGAGAGTGTTTTTGAGGTCAGGGATGGTCTAGAGGAGGTAATGTTTTAGCTGAGATCTGAAGGATGAGTAGGGGTTAACTAGGGAAAGAGTGGTGGGGTTGGAGAGAATGCTTCAGAGAGAAGGAACAGTATCGTCGAAGGTCCTACTGTAGAAAGGAACATGGAGTATGCAAGGAACTGAAAGGAGGCCAAGGTGGCTAGAGTTTGGTTGATGAGGGGAAAGTGGCTGAAGTGTGGTAGGAGAAGTGGAGAGGGCCAAACACTAGTATGTTACTTTGGTGTTCAGCCTAAGAGCAGTGGTATACCATGCAGGGTGTTTTCTAGGCAGGGAAGAGAGAGAAGTTAAAATTATTTTGACTTCACTGTGGAATTTGAACAAGGATGGATGTAGGAAGTTATTGTAGTATTCTA